CAACATCACCATCACCATCGTCATCATCATCATCATCATCATCATCATCATCATCACGGTCGCCAAGATCTTCATCTTCGTCTGCATCACTATATGCACTTGTAGCCTCAGCATCCGAATCACAATCACGACCAGAATAGCGACAATAGACAAAGCACAACATGTCACATGCGTGTAAAGAACATGTTGAACTGACATAGACTAGATCAGAAATGGTCTAATGGAAAGAACGTGCAAGAAGATGACGACATGAGCAGCCACAATCCATGAGACCACTCCATGTAAATCCGGCAGCTACATCTCCCAAGCTTTCGGTTGATGTGTCGTTCTTCGTTTGGGTTGTTTTGGGTCTTCCTTTGGGCATTCTGGTGGCTGTAGGGGTTGGTCATGGGTTGTCATGGTTCCAAGGTGCGAGGGCCAGATACGAGAATGGAAATGGTCATCACTAGCAGCGACTGTAGCAGAATAGTGGTAACTAGTGTAGCAAGCTTGGATGATAACAAGAGTAGTCAATCAGAAGAACAACAGTATTGAGCATAGCCTTGGGATGATGTGCGGCCGCAGCAATTAATTTGGGGTCATTCAAACGAGAAGAAACCCTAGTTGGGCTGATTCCACTTTCGACTTCCCACTGAACAGCTACTTACTATCTCCCCCGAGCTTCCGAGCGTTGCTCGAGTTTCCATGTTGACACGACAGGCTATTCATGCTCGTCTTCAAGGCTTCCCAACCAGTGGCGCAGCCTTGAACACGTTCACATTGCTGAGGCCTTAAACTGTCCACAGACAGGAGCACTAAGCAATTGGGACATCTTGCAAGCTCAGGCTGTTGCATTTGATCAAGCCCATCAAATCAGAACAGGCTGCGACCATCTCGGCTCGCTCCTTAGTGAAGACTGCTAGCTACCAGGGCCTTCTTTTAGGCAAAGGGGGGAAGTTACTGGAGTAGCCTCAGCTTTCTTTGGCTTCGATAGGCGAACGAGCCCACTGTAGCATTGCGGCAAGGCATCTCTTTAATGAGCAGTTGGAAGTCAGGCGATCTTTTGAGGACCAGGCCTACCGTGGGTGTGGAAGGAATAGAAAAGGACCTCAAACATCGTCAGATGACAGCAAAGCAGCACACACAAGTGACATACCATACGAGAATGCGGGAATAGGACTCTGATCATGTACGGAAATACGAACATACGAGCGCAGTAAGGAGATGTAAGGAGAGTTGAAGAAGACCAGAATGGACTAAACTACAAACTTGAGCGAGTTATGGAGAGAACAGAAGCTCCCGAGCAGGCTGAGATGGCGCCCGAGGGCCGCCAGAGTTTTTTAAACGTCTCGCTGTTTGTAACCAGGAGACGTGGCCTGCCATGTGAGGATGATGGTGATCAGTATTAGTGAATGTCTTGAACAAGATCTTCGTCTTGGGGCATCTGAATCGGGATCGCTCCATGTTACCTCATAAGAAGCTGCGACGGTTTCTGGGGTCCTGGGAACATCTCGGCCAGCCCTGTCCGTTCAGGCGTTCTTGCCTTTGCGAGACGATGTTCCGCAGCTGCTTGGAAACTACAAGAAGGAGGCAACCAACAAGTTGAGTCCAAAGCCACGAGCCACCAGGTCTTGTGCCAAGTAGACAGAGTATGTAACAATACGGAGATCTGCATTCTATCCTTGCCCTTCGGATTTCTGAAATACTGTGAGTTTTGCTGTTTCGGCCTTGTATGGTTATGAGAACTCTTGCTATTTATTACACTGTGCTTTTGCCACTGCCACACTGCCACTGCTTCTGCTTTACTGCGACGACGACTAGTACTAAGCAACGACAACGACTGCCACTACCACTACCAACACCACCACGACTACTAGTTGTTCTTCTTCCTACAACCATACAACTGGTAGTAGTAGTAGTAGTAGTAGTAGTAGTAGTAGCAGTAGTAAGTAGTAGAAGTAGCAGTAGCAGTAGTACTAGAAGTAGAAGTAGTAGTAATAGAAGTATTTTACTGCTGCTGCTACTACTACTACTACTACTACTACTACTACTCCTGCTGCTCATTATTACAGCCCACTGCTTGCAGGCGCGATTTGGGGAGAAGGAGCAGGTCGAGGCGGCCACGGAGAGTGCCAAGTCCGCGCTGGTCTCGGCGTTTGGCATTTCACGCTGTTGCTGCTCGCAGGGCAACCAATAGGAATGTAGAATAGTAGTGGCCATAGAATGCGGATATCAATGATCACCAATGATCGTGACAAATGCTAGAGGTGAGGGTCATTTCAAGAATGGTCAAGCGCACGGAAAGCAATAGCTCAAGCACCAGGTGATGTGACGATGAGAAATTGACGGCCCGGCATAATAGTAAGGTGTTCGAAGCGTTGCCGAGAAAAAACAACACAAAGCAAGAGAGATATTCATGGAAACTGAAGTGGTGATAGCAGCAGTTGTGATCGTGATGGTGTGTGTGTGTGTGTGCGCGTGTGTGTGTGTGTGTGGTGTCTGTGGTAATGCTGGTCGTCGTCGTTGTCATAGAGATGGTGATGGTCACAGCGGTGGGTATATCGATTGTCTAAACAGTGCTATTGCCCAGCGTCAGCACCAGCTCAGTGGCTTTGACAGCTATCCTAGTAATGGTGGCTGTAGTGGTGTGGTAGTACTACTATTACTATTATCATTATTATTATTAAGCAACAGCAGCAGTAGCAGTAGAAGAAGAAGAAGTAGTAGTAGTAGTAGTAGAAGAAGTAGACGTATAAGTATAAGTATAAGTACAAGTA